TGCAGTGATTGGCAGAAGTATGAAATACATCCTTTGAATCATTTGTCATGTAAACCCCAGATAAGACTATCTAAAAATGCCACAAATGTGGCAGGCACAAATAAATGATGCATCAAACAAATGTGCTGAAAATCTTTGCAAAAGACACAAAGGAAAGTCAAGGTCAAAGAAAATTTAAGTGTCCGGTGGTTTGCTTGAATTCATACAAGATTTGAAGGTTTGTTTGAAGGTTAGGGTTGCTGCAGCTTCACTAGTCTCTTTGCCAAGAACTTTCTTGTCAATACTGCTAATTATCTTTTCGTCTTGATTCTGCTGGTCAAAGTAAGAGACAGAACTGATGCCTGAATACCAGCTGCAGATCCATCCCTAAAGGAGCCAGAAATAATACTCTTAAATATGATTGTATAGATCAATTGGAATTTACATATACAGCTTAAGACTCTCATATGGTATAATTATTGCAATTAATGATGTCAGTACTTGTGCATGAAATCTGGAAAAAAGGTACATCATAATGAGGAAGAATGAAAATAAAAAGATTCCAGAGTGTTGTGTTGTATTTCTAAGGAGGAGGAAATCTCTTTTCTGCCTGGCCTTGTTACCCCCACCTTTGCAGTGTCCTGTGAAGAAGTTTCATTCTTGTTTAGGGACCAGGTAAAGTTATTGCCAGTCGTCCATTTTTTATTCCTTTCCTGCATTTTCTGTTGAAAATACACCTCACAGTCCAACAGCTTGGCAGCATTCTGTAACGTATCATATATAACTGGAACTATTCATGCATTAGCGCATACAACCTGTACGTACTTTGTAAGGGGATGATGTCATGTCATGTGACCATCAGCTCCCAGTGTCACAGTGACAATCAATTTCTCCGGATAACAACCCCACAAATACAACTGGTGACGAGGAGGATTTTTAATGTTCATAGTCATTGACAAGAACCGGACAAGAACTTGCATACTTGTGAATTTTGTCGCCATGGGGAACTGCAGACCAGTGTATTTTGGTGAAATTCTCATCCAGTTTTTGCAGCATACAGTAGGTACGTATACACATAGACTTTCCGTTGTTGGCGTAGTCGTGTGACATACATCAGTACTGCTGCAAAAGACACAGTTGAATTTTAACAACAGCTGAAATGTAAGTCTTCTGTCTGTAAATTTGCAGCCAAACCACATTCTACTTCATCGTCTATATGCTATTGTTGTGGGAAATCAGGCCATATTTGTCTAACCAATGTCACTTCAAAGATACTATAAGTCATGGATGCAACAAAAAGGGTCCTATTCACCCAGCATATCCCTCCAGTGCTGACCCACAGCAAACTGGTCACTAAGTAACTCTCACAAAAGGTGACCTCAAGGATGAGGGAAAGCAAAAGTGAGAGCAAAACTTATGAAATCCATTGAAAAAACAAATGCAGGTAGTGATGATGACATTACCTACGTCATTGGACTCAGAGTAAACAATCTTGGTCAGTGCAAAGTCAGCATGATCTGGTTGATGCCATCAATTAATGGCACACACATTCACATGGAACTTGATACCGGTTCAGCCACAACCATAATATCCAAGGCAGATTACCAGCAAAATTTTGTGCATTTGAAACTCCATTCATCAACTCCAGTGAAACTCCAGACCTACACTGGAGAAAAGATATCTCCAGTTGGCTGTCTCTAAGTGGACATTTGCTACCAGAAACAGCAACACACTGGACAGTTGTATGGTGTTCAGCACTGTAGGCCTGCATTGTTGGTTGTGATTGGCTCACATACTTCATGCTAGTCTGGCCTAGCAGCTGCCTTATATCATCAGATCATCCACCAGTGAACACAGAAGCCAAGTTGAAAGCCTTACTAGGCTCATACCTCGAACTCTTCAAGAATTAATTTGGGGAACTCAAGGGGGTAGAGCAAGACTAAATCTGAAAGATAATGCCTGTGTTCCTCAAGGCAAGGCAAGTGCCATATGCACTGAGACCACAATTCAGTTGAAGCTGAGCTCACACGCAAGGATTCAGCAGGAGAACATTATCTCACCTGTTGAGACAAGTGAATGAGCTGTATTACTCGTTCCAAGGAAAAATGGTTGGGTCAGAATCTGTGGTGACTTGAAAGCGACTGTTAATGCTAACTTGCATGTTGATCATTACCCACTACCCCAGATCGACGATGTGTTCGCCACCCTGGCAGATGGACAGTGGTTGACCGCAAGCAAGCTTACCTACATATGGTGATGGATAAAGAATCCAGCAAGAAAGTCACTCTTAATACACACAAAGGACTCTTCCGGATGAGTTGACTTACCTTTGGAGTAGCATCAGCACTGGCAATATGGCAAGGGACTACGGAGCAAATCATCCATACAGGGCATTCCAGGTGTGCAGTGCATTCCGGATGATATGCTCATCACCAGTCGCAACGATACATCTTCACAATCTGGAGAAAATAGTGTCTTTACTATGCAGTTGCGAACTGCATCTCAACAAATCAAAGTGTGAATTCTTCAAGGGCAAGGTGGTCTTTTGTGGTCATAAAATTGATGCACAGGGGCTATATAAGACGCAAGAAAAGAATTTATGCCATATGAAACATACCACACTGAGTTGGACAGGTTTGCTCATTTGTTGGTCTCATTGACTACTACCACGGATATCTACCAAATCTGTCCACGGTGCTACACCGTAGCTAGAGAAAAATTGGAAAGGGCAGTGGTCACTCAAATGTGAAGCTGCATTTGAACAGACGATTGAAGACTTTCGTAACCTTGGAAGAAGTTTTGACACATTACAGCCCAGAACAGCCTGTAAGACTAGCCTGTGATGCATATCTCCATACGGCCTGGGTGCAGTCATGTCTCATATTACGCCCAACAACATCAAGCGACCCATCGCATATGCCTCATGAACTCTGTCGAGCGTTGAGCAGAAATACCCACAAATGGATAAAGAAGCTAATTGACACATGTGTGGGGCAGGGGTGAAGAAATTCAACTACTTGCTGGGAACTTGACTTTATATTAGTGACTGACCACCAACCGCTCACATTGATTGCAACCTTTAAAAGAACATTCTTTAACTATGGTCTCCCACGTGGCTTGCTACACAGATTTTCTCTCCAGCTACGACTACAATATTGAATACATGGATGGACTGTCGCAAGGCCACTTCTGGAGGTCAGACGGCAATGTGCTGACCCAGACAACTTTTTGCATTTGTCGCAATTGACATGCCACTTGTCACCAGTACCTAAATTCGCAAGGAAACAGCTCACGATGTTATGTTTGCAAAAGTGTTTCAGTACACAAGGAAAAGTTGGCCATATGCACCCCAACGAGTTTGAGCTGAATCCATTTCACCCTCAGAGAAATGAACCATTCACACACAATTGATGCCTTATGTGGGGACTCTGCATGGTTGTGCCAACCAAGCTACGAGACAACGTCCCTCGGTGAGTTACATGAAGGTCACCTAGGGGTTCTGAAAATGAAAACCCTCCCACATGTTTACACTTCATGACCCGGCATGGACAGTTACATTGAAAACCTCACCAAAGGTTGTGCTGGATGCCACTTAGTCCAGCACAATCCAGAGGGTGTACCTCTGGCTGTTGTCGCCATTGCAATGCATCCACATTGACGAGTTGGACCATTCCTCAGACAAATGTTTTTGATTGTCATGGATGCACACCCCAAATGGCCTGAGGTGGTGAACATTAAAATGTCAGACTCTTTTCACACTACTGACATTCTCCAAGCCATCTTTGTTAGAAATTGAGTTCCAGAGCAACTTGTGAGTGGTAATGCTCCTCACTTTACATCTGATAAGTTCTAGATGTTCTTGAAGTGCGGTAGGTTAAAACACATCACATGTCTCTCTGCATTTGGTGTTAGCCTAGTCATAAGGTCTGTGGCAGTTTTGGCTTTCTCAGCATTGGTTTTATCTTCGTTGTGGTCTTCACATTCTTCATCCCAGCAGGGGACATAGTTCTTTCAAACTCCCCGTGGAACATATTTCTTTGTGGCGTCCATCAGCATCTTACAATAGGCCTTGTATGCTTCGCTGGAAGCGCTAGGCACTGGCAGGAAGTCGGCTGTGGTGTTGGTCCTTTTTGCGAATTCTGGCCAGTTGGCTTTGCGGAAGTTCCACCTTTGGACAGGTTTTCCTTCTTTTGACTGGACCAACGATGATGTTGTGATCAGTGACAGGCGGTGTTGGGAGCAAGGGAACCTGTCCAAGTGTACCGGAAGTGGCTCTTGCCTGGTGGCTTTGGCAAAGGCCAGGTCCGGGGTGGTCTCGATGTTACAGCGTCCGAAGGTGAAGGAATGGGGCTCCTTTGGATCAAACAGGAGCCCCGGATCATTTGAGGATGCCCATTCTACGAGGGACTCGCCATCACGGTGGATAGTTTTATAGCCCCAGTCAGTGTGCCAGCAGTTGAAGTCAGCAGCGTACACAGCTGGGGCTGGGATGTCTGGCAACGAGTCTGGTTGTAGTCTGCTTGGGGGTGGCTTGTCACTTGGACTTGGATGGCAATGCATTCAACCTCAGTGTCGGGAATGCATTGGCTGGCTGATGTCCAAGGCACACCATCTTTGACGAAAGTAGCCAGGCCATGGTGTCTGTTCTTGGTACGACCGGCTAGCGTGTATCCGGAAAGCTTTAAGGTGGTGGCATTCTCCTTGTGTGTCTCTTACACTACGACGGCAGTTGCCTTGCTATTACTAGCAAGCTGTTCTCGGACATCGAGCTTGGCAGTGGTAAGGCCTTTGACACTGAGCTGTATTGCAAGGCTTTCAGTAGATGAATCCACCCGTACCGAGGAGGACACAGGTTGCCTCAAACATTGGGGTCACTGGGAATTCTGAGAGCAGGGTGAAGACATGAGTTTTGCCAGAGTTTAGCCAGAGGCTAGAAGCTACTTTGCCAGAGGCTACTTGTAGGGGCTACTTGTATGGGAGGCTAGCTGCGTAGAGGCTGTCTTCTCTCTTCAAGTTTCCTGTTGGCAAATAGGAATGCTCCTCACTGGAGTACAGGACAGTCAACTGCCATGCTGCTCATGCGGACACAACCTTCGTTCACAATTGGACATGCTCAAACCTGACATTCATAACCATGTTAGTGGTAAGCAAGTCAATCAGACAGCATCACGCAAGTCTGCCAGTGTGACCTGAGAGTTTCACATTGGTCAAATAGTATCTGTTCACAACGATCATGTTAATGCTTGTTGGGCCAAACATGGTGTTGGGCACCAAACAAGATGTAGTACAGACACGTAGATCAACTCATCAACTCGGACACTGCAAGGGAATTAACCATCTTGTTCCAGAGATATGCTTCCAACAGATCCAGTAGTTCATGTAACCTGTATCATCACCGGCTAAGCCAGAGCAAGTACTTCCACAAGAAACACAGACTCCAGCAGAATCACCAACGTAAGCAATCCCTGGACCGGAGTAGCAGGGCACCGCTACTCAACTCGCAATTGCAGACCCGCAGATAAACTTAATCTTTGATAATCAAACAAAACCTTTAAAAAACTCAGCAGACATTGTTTGAAGGTTTAGTTCTTAAGGTTTTATTCACACCTCTTCATAAGTCCAGAGACCAGCATATTATGTATTAGGCGAAGAGAAAAACAAAGTGTAAACTGTTGAAATCAAAAAACTTAAATTGCCATTTCATCTCGGTTTCATGCAGTATAGACATAATACTAATATTTATTATATTACATAGCACAAAACGGGATTTGCAAATAATTGCACCTGCCCCACTCACTTGCATTACATTTTATTCATTAGCCACCATAGCTTGTTAACATCTTCCTTATTTAAATTTCCTTAAAATGTAAAATAATTATCTAAATGGTAAGGAGGAATTGTAATGTATTGTGCATAACTGGAAATATTCAAGTACTACAGCATACAACTTGTATATAGTTGTAAGGGGATGACCTAATTCCATGTGACCATAATAAATAACTTTCTACAATGTGGCAGCTCCCTTTGTCACAGTGACTGTCAATTTCCCCAGTTAATAACCCTACAAATACACTACTTTTCAATAAGTAAATTTTTCAATCTATCTCGTAATGACTCATAATGTACAGGACGAACAAGCTTGCAGTGTCAAGCATGGTGCACAAGTGCCTCATACCACCGCAGCTGAATATAAACTTCACCTTGTACTAATTGAGTTGTAGGTCATGTGACTTGATTTTATCACATACAGCATGCAGTTCTCCAATACATTTTTCGTGAACTTTTCTTCAAGTCCACTTGCTAGTGATTGGCAAATGTAACAGATTTTGTAAATTGTTTCCCACTGTGGTAAAGTATGGAGGAAGGAATGTCATCTATAAGGAAAGTAACTGTAAGATCAGTCAGTAGAGATTAGCAAAGTTGAAAGGAATTCAACAATTCCATTTATTGATCGCTTTTCTGAGAGGCCTCGCCCCATACTTGCTGACGTCGATATCTAGTATGAAATAAAATGTTGTTCTCCAACAAATAAATATGTACAGAATCTGTATTTGTGCTTTTACCATGCAGTATTAGGTCTTAAATTTGTCTCTGTCACATTGATTTGCGTGAGGACACTGGTATGCTTTATTCAAATGTAAGTCACTTGCCTCTTTTATCACAAGCACATCATGAATTTCTGTAATATACATTTTTTTTATCTATTGATTGTGAGTCCCATCCGCAAAGATTGGCAGAAGTATGAAATACATCCTTTGAATCATTCGTCTTGTAAACCCCATCTATTCAGGAGTAGCTGCTCTCAACCACACCAGCAAATCAGAAGTCATTTCTCAAATAATCCCATGTAAAACTTTAATGTAAAGTTTACTTTCCTCAACAGCATTTGTAGAATTGTGTGAGAAAAATGCTGTCACTTTTGTACTGCAGTTTGCATACCATACTTTCAGATGGATCCAGCAAGTGCTTTAATTATTCCTGTAACACTGAGGACTAAGGGGTGGAGGTCTGCACACAGAACTGGTGATCATGCATCACTTTTTGAGGCGAGTTAATGTGGAGGAAGATTTGACATTGATGAGGAATATCTTTAAGGAAATAGGAAGATCAGGTTAGTTATGCATGTCTGATTTTCAAGTGGCAAGGTGTTTCGTGACTTTCGCTCAGGCCTTCAATATTATTGCCTCCAAAAACAATCCACCTTGGTTCATTGTGTACCGAGTTTGAAAGTTCACCTGTAAAGCCCTCGTAATTTGGCACTAAACTCTTTAACCCCAAAGCACTGGCGACAGAATTAGGCATAGGTGCACCAGTTGCCCCCTACTTTTCAGACTGGGGGCACCCCCTGCCCACTTTTAGCAGGCCCTTTGATGGGTTGGGACTTCTTCAATCAGCCTATTAATAGCTGAAGCCTAATGGTATCACAGCTGGCCCCCCTCATTTCAATGCAGCACTGTTGCCTCAAATAGAGTATCAGGTTTTACTTCTGTGTTTCTTTGATACTTTTTGTGATTTTTTAATTGACTGCAAAGTGCATCAAAATGTCCAGTTACTGCAGAGATGCACTCCAGATGAGATGCCAGGTCTCTGATCATGACCATGATGGTAAATTGGCTGTGTATCTTCATAAGCCTTCGTGCTAAGTGGTTGCGCTATAACATCAACTCACCAACAAGATTCACCCAGTTTAAAACAAGAAGAAAATTTTTATTCTTTAGTGTACTTTAACAATAACAACCTTGACAATCAATCAATGGATAAGTAGTTCTTTGAGATCTCAAATCAAAAAAATGCACGTAGAAAAAAATCTTCAACCGGTTGAGCTACATTTCTAACCCTGATAACAGTCAGTGTCCAAACACTATATGGAGGCTTAAGAATCCACAGTTCAATTCTTATATCCCAGAATCCCTCATCGACTTAGGTGGTGCACCAAGTCTCATTTCGAGGATCCGTGCAAGTTGTCTGGTGGTTCCTCGTCTGAAATCAGGTACCACAATGTATGTCCGGTCCACACTGATTGAACTGCACAGCCTTGCCTGTGGTTCCTGCTGACCATAGTTCAGGTTAGAGGGTAGAGGTCAATGGTCAATCCAGGGTGGCCTCCCACTCATCAGTTACAGTTCAACTTGACTGCCACGGGCCAGTCGTGATGTGATGTCTTGTGGCAACTCCACACTACACAGTAATATTGTTCTACACCAACCATATGTAGGTCAACAACGCTTGCAATCACAATCTGAGAGGGTGGAAACTGAGAGCCACAGGCTTAACTGGAACAAAAATAACTAGCTTTATATTGGTAAAACTTTGACGTGACAAGATGAGATCACATGAAAAACATGGCATCAAGCAAGCGAGTGAGCCAACAGGCACTCATCACAAGAGGGCGCTATACCATTTTGCAGCGGGCTACATCATTGTAACCATAGGTTAACAGTTTTCCTGTTGACCTTGACATTTCTCTGTGTCTTGAAGGTTAGGCTTGCTGCACATACAGTAATCTCCTTGCAAAGAACGTTTCTTGTAACGAATATTGATAATCATCTGTTTGTCTTTGCTTGTAGATTATGCTTGCTCAAGGAAGTGACAGTGCCTGAAATCCACAATGATAGCTAACATAGAGTTAATTATGATAAAAATGCTAGTTTTTATTTTTAACGAATGCTTTTGAGGATTGAATCAATACTAATATTTCAGGAGAATGAAAACTCAAAAGATTTGGGAGTGTTGTGTTGTATTCCCAGGGGAAGGGGATCTCTTTCCCACCTGGGCCTAGTTAGCCCCATCCTTGCTGTGGGCTGTGGTCCTGTGAAGAGGTTGTAAACTTGTTTCAGGACCAGGCAGAGGTATTATCAGTCTTCCTCTTCTTATTCCTACTCAGCATTCCTTTTCAGTAAATGAATATTTTCAACAAATGAGTTTCAAATCCAACCTGTAACGGTCTTGTAATGTACAGGATATCCAAGGTTGCAGTGTCAAGTATGATGCATATCACGTGCCATGTGCTACTATACCTGAAAAAAAAAATTACTTTGTACTAATTGAGCTGTAAGTAACATGTCTTGTTTTTCTCATATACAGCGTGCATTTCGAGTCTCCAATACGTAAGTCCAATTGCTAGAAATTGGTAAAAGGAACATGTTTAAAATGTTTGTCTTTCAAAAACCTAAGCAGTTGTTCCCATGCTCAGCTGGTTTTTGGTTAAATGACCGTAAGACCAATCTGTAGAGATTGGCAAAGGTGAAAGGATTGATGCGATATAAATTTTCTTCTATTCATTGTAAGTCCGATCACAGGGATTGGCAAAAAATGAAAACCCTATCGTCTTAAGAGCAGGAGCTTGTAGCCACTGGGGCCAATCAAAAAGTCAATTCTGAAGTAATCTCACATAACTATATGATGAGAAGCGCATTTCCATTCCTCTGGATTCTGTACAGCATTCGTATATTTTGTGTGAGAAAAACACTCTCACTCTTCAGTTTGCAAAACATGCTTTGAGATGGATCTTTCAAGTGCTCCAATGATGCCTGTAACACTGAGGGACAGATGACTGCAAACACAGAAAGGGTGAATACGCTGTTGCAACTAATATACTTGAAGCAGAGGTGGCTAGTCAAGGTAGGTCAACTAAGCTTTGACTATATTTCAATCTGTTTTGTTTTCAACTTATTTAGTACCAGTAAATTTCAAGTTGAATTCATTCATCTTGGTAGATTAGGCCTTGAAAGAGAAGTAAAATCCCTGTCAGGTCAGATCAGGAGACTTGCTACTGTTGGTCCAGTACAACCTGGTTCAGGGTCGAGTCATCGGTAACTAAACCGGCGCCCCCACTAGATTCCTTTTGGAGGCCGGTGAGGAGGATGGCTGGATACCCTGGTGGATCTGAAAAGATCCATCTCTAAGGGCCTGGGCTCAGGAGAGTCAATGACGGCCATCCAGCAACTGTAAGCTTTATTATAAGTGCAGTAGAACGACCTTTTCCTTATTTTTTCTTTAAGGATTTTGCTGAAACCTAGGTACCAGAAGTGGGGATGCACAGGAGAAAGTCTGACAGATGACTGCCGACCCCATTGGCTGTATATCACGTATAAGTTTTTCTTGAGGTTAGTCTGTCATTGAAGAGCAGTAACAAATGTCTAAGAATAAGGATTGCTTCTGCTTGTCTAATGGCAGCAAATATGTAAAAAGAAAATGATGACAATTGTGCCCAAGTCCCATCAGAATCAAACTTTGGAATTCCAATACAGACAGTTTGTGAGAAACTGTTAATTCATCTTCAGAGAAAAGTAACTCTGAAGTTTCTTGCCAGATTTATCAGCGTCTTTACCAGTTCCTATTTTATTTCACATTAATTTCTTTCAATGCACATCTGGGAAGCAACTTTTGGCAGTGGGAGTTCATATCGGATGCAGAGTTGACCTGTTCACTAGACAATGAAGGTAAAGGGGAAGATGATCAGATCTTGTGTTGACTTTGAAAATAATTTGAGAAGTGTTTTATTTTTCTCAGTACAGGATCTGAAGCTAGACTTCTTGAAGATGAAGAGACAGCTGATGAGCCGATGTGAGAGGACAGTATCCCTGACATTGTCAGGAGCCAGAAGCTGGGAGGAAGGACATATTACAGCACTGATAGTGTGTAACCACTTTATTCGATATTGACAATTTCTAGGATACAAAGGGGGCCAATTTGGGGGTGAGTGAAGGCAGAGCAGCAGCTACAGTAGGCGAATATAATGTTGGTAAGCAGTTCGTGATGTGCTTGAATGTAAGTCAGTGAGGTTTTGTGTGCTTTAGAGAGGTTATTTATATGAAGTCAATTAGTACCCCTAATAAATCAGTTCTTTGAAACAAATTTTCACCAATTAACCAAGAGGTATCTTAAAAACTAAACCATTACAAACATGATTTCTATGCAGAGTTCGTGATACATGCATTTGCATTTAATTGATATAAATATTTGAAGTAGTTAAACGATGGTTTGACTAAGAATTGCATCGTAACCACTTGCTGCGGGGTGGATTTTTCTTGAGCAAGACAAGATGCCGGGTCATTTTCAAGATTTTCCGTTTTCAAAATTCTTCAAAAATTAATCATTTCATTTAATGGCTGTTTATACCAAAATGAAGGACTCTTTGAGCACTACTCCAAAGCTGACAGGTAAAATTCATTGACTCCTGAATATTTCAGCCAGGCCTGCAGCCTTGGAAAAAGAGCCCAGATTGTGCAGTGCTACGTAAGATTCTTTTGTTCCCCGAAACTGGCACAGTGCACTGCTGACCTCTTTTCAATAGAGGCCAGATTAGCGTGCAGCAGTGCTGTGTGGCTCATTGCTGCGTTAGTGGAGAGCTTCTGTCCCCGGTGGTAATCTGCTTGCTCTAAATGCCTCAAACCATGGTATACTGTTTCAAAACAAGGCTGGATTATCTCCACTATTGAGAGCGAAAAAATGTCGGTAATGCCCAGCAGCTCAGTCTTTTGTGCTGAGCACGGTGTTTTGTTATAAGGCCCAACTCTTTTGTCCCAGTTCCGGGCTCCCTTGCTCTGCATATGTAACCGAAAACGGGTCGCCCGGCAGGTAGTGGTTAAGTATGCTACCTCGTTTGTCAGCCATAAGGTTAATCATTTAATATAGACAGGTAAAGAGGTATATAAGCAAGTTACAGATGTAGCCAAGTTAGTCATTTCGTTGGTCAGTTTCTTATATGTGAGTAAAGGTAAGCTAGTGTAAGTAACTAAATATACTAGTTTCATTGATAATAAGTGTGGAAGCAAATACACAAGTCAGCAATTAGCATGTCACCTGTTGGTATTAAAATATGTAGAAGTATGTGTATAACCAAGTAAGTAAAATAACGTAACTGTAAGTAAGCATAAAAGTATATAGACTAAGTGAACCAGATGGTGGTCAGTAGGTCAGGTGGTTGGTCTGTCATTAATAGTAAGTACAGGTGTACCACAGTGAAGTAAAATAAGTGAAAGTAATAGTTGAAATGTAGTAGGTAAATTAGGTTGTCTTGGGTTGATCGGTCAGTCAGTAAGTAAAAGTAATCTGTGTACATGTATGTATGTAAGTAAAATAAAGTGACAAGTAAGTGGTGGTGGTAAGTTGTAGTAGTAAAATGTAAGCAGTAGTGGTTTTATGTATGTGTATGTAATTAAGTAAATTAGTTGCTTCAAGTCATTGGTTGGTCTGTTGGTCGACCAGTCATTTGTTTAGTCAAAAAAAAGTAACCTCGCTCAGATTCAGCATAGGGTGTTATTCATTTACTTGACTGTTCAGTTTATAATTTGAACATTGTAAATCCGCTATCTTTTTCATCAGAAAGAGACATTGCTGGTGAATAATTTGCAATGCAAAAAGAATTATATAAGAATATGAAAACACTCAAGTATTACAAATTGAGTAGTACAAGGAAATGAATCTAAAAAGTGAACTTATAAAAGAAATATTGAAAAATAAAGAAATTTTGGAGTGTGGGACAATGAGAGTACAAAATGGAAAGCAAGTGATGAGAATGTTAAAACTCTGCAAGTGAGGCAGTCAACTAGCAAAGCTACAATATGGCACCTGAGCAAGCAAAGCCTCTTAGTGAGCACATGACAATTGCCAGGGATAGGTTTGGGAAGAAATGAGGGTAGGGCTGTTAACAAGATCATTTTGTAATGTGTGCACATACTGTCAAACATTTCAGCAGTACTTTGAGAATGCAGTAAAGTGATGAGAAAAAGACTTTGAAGTGAATTTGCATATTAATGAAGCCCAGATGCTTTGTTCTTTCAGAATTGGGGACAAGTTTTGCACTGGGTCTTCACTAGACTGGATTCCAAACAGTTAAAGATGAAGGGAGAGTATCCTTGCCAGCCTTCCAGGATCCGGAAGCGGGGAGGAGGAACGACAGATGACCAGTGACCCTACTTGCTGAGCGAGCCGTTTCTACTTTTTGAGGTGAGTCAATATAGAGAAAGCTAGGAGGAAGATTTTGCATTGATGACGATTACCTTAGAGGAAATAGGAAGGAAGACCATCAGATTAGTTTTGCATTTCCAATTTTCAAGAGGCAAAGTCTTTTGGGGAATTCGTTCAGGACAAAACAATCTGCCTCGGTTCAATGTGTACAGAGTTTTAAAGTACACGTACATAGTTCTCGTAATTTGCCAATAAATTCTTTTAGCCTAGCCCAGTTTACTGGCAATGGAATGGGGCAAACGAGGGCGTGACCAGTGGCCCCCTATTTTTTGGCCTGGGGCATCCCCTTCCTCCACTTTAGTAAGTCCTATGATGGGTTGGGACTGAATGAATCAGCCTATTAATGGCTGATGCCTGATGGTCTCACAACTGGCCCCTTCATTTCGACACCATTGCCCCAGATGCAATATTAGGTTTTACTTATGTGTTTTGTTGATATTTGCAATTTCCAGCAAGTGCATCAACCAGTCCGGGAAGTACTGCAGAGATTAACTCTAGATATAAGATTCCAGGTCTCTGATCAAGCCTTTGATGGTTAATTGGCTGTGTATCATTGTCACATACTGCAATAGGTTTACAGGTTTTGTTGACCTTGACTTTCCTGTGTGTCTATTGCAAAGTTTTTCAGCACATTTGTTTGATGCATCATTTATTTGTGCCTGCCACGTTTATAGCATTTTTAGTCAAATCTCTCACCAGAAAATCCAAGTGTCCGGTGGTTTGTTTGAATTCATACAAGTTTCGTGTTTGAAGGTTAGGTTTGCTGCAGCTTCGCTAATCTCTTTGCCAAGAACTTCTTGTCAATACTGATAATTATCTTTTTGTCTTTGTATGTAGATTCTGCTGGTCAAAGTAAGAGACAGAACTGATACTTGAATACCAACTGCAGATCCATCCCCCTCAGATAGAGTTGCTGACTCAAGTCATATGACTTGGACTCGAGTTGCTATTTTTGTGACTTGTGACTTGACTTGGACTTGCAAAAAATGAATAGTTACCAACTGAAGTCAGATGCTACTCAACTGGCCCCATGTATTTTTAATTAAACTATTCAGTAATTACGCCTTATGTGCAAAAAAAAAAGGAATTAGGCTTGCGCGGCTTCTAGTTCACCCAACTGTAGCTGTAGATGCATATCGTGCTGATACGTTGCCTTGCATTGATGCGTGACTGGGATAAACAGCGTCCTCAATACGTTGTCATTGAAAAGCAAACGTAGTGGCTTCTAGCAGTGTTGTTCCACAGTTGGTTAGTTTCGTGTATCTCGACTATAATACCACCGCAAGTAAACGGTCTGCTGTTTGTAAAATATGTGGATCTACTGTCACTGATGGCTCAAACACAAGAAGTAATTTCGTGCGTCATCTTAAAACCCACGACGAACAATGAGTAGTAATGTTGCGACTTTTTTGGGAATGCGTAAATAGGCCTAGGCCTACATGAAATAGATTTTTGGCCATTCAGGGCTGTATGTCATTGTTTTTATAATCTCTTGCTACAAATGGCTATTGAATCTAAGTAACTGAAAAGCCTCTGGTACTTGAAAATCTGCCCAAAACTAAATGCACATATATACTTAATAAATAATAATGCAAAAAAATAATTACAAAATAATCCCACTATTCAATAATGTTTGATTTTTGTATTAAACAAAATTGCAGGCAATATATTTTTCCAAATTTCAGCACATTACAGTAACAAATCACTCCATTTCAGAGAAAAAAGCACATTACACTTACTTCACACTGCAATACAACTAAATTGATTAAATAATTCTATTTAAATTCTTGCACAGATATAAAGCATACCTTGACTCCAAGATGATGCAAGAGGATACCAGGCAGATAACATCCTTCTTTTCGAGCTCAGATGCTATATATGGTGAAACCCATCACAATCAGCGAGCCATTACAGAAGCCATCATATCTGATTTGATTTTTGACTGTGCTATGCCATTGTCAATTATTGAGAATGACAGTTTTTGCCATTCTTGTTGGTCCATTCTTGGTCAAATTGTTGCGATGCAGCAAAACATCATCCAGTGTAGACTTGAGAATTCAGCTTGGGTTTCGGCTACAATTGATATTTGGTCAGATCGACAAATGAAAGGATATTTTGGTGTAACCCGCCACACCATTGAAATTGACAAGTTTGACATCAGTTTGAGGTCATACTTGCTTGCCTGTCACCGTTTCAAAGGGTCTCACACAGGTGAAAAGATAAGTGATGCCTTCGAGGCTGTATGCGATGAGTATAAGATCAAAAACAAAGTTAACTACATCTTGTCAGATACAGCAAGCAACATGAGGAAGGCATTCACTGTCTGCTTTCCACAAACAGATAACTTGGAAGAGACAGATGCTAGTGAGCCGAATGATCTAGATGATGGAAGTTTATGGAAGGAGTTACCTGCAGAGGCACAGGAAGATATGGATCTGGCTCTGACCAGAAACTCTAATAGGCAACGACTTCTGTGCTTTGCATATACCCTCCAACTGGCATTGTCAGATGGATTGAAAGAAACCAAGACTACAAACATGGCCATGAGTAAGGCTTCAAAACTATATACATTGCTGTATAGCAGTTGTACTTTCAAGGAGGCGTTTGAGAAGGATTTTTGCTCAAAGGCATCCCAGCACTTGTGCACACCAAATGAAATTCAACACTGAGGCAAGTCAGGGCAATCACTAGTCTTGACTACCAAAAGCTGTGTTAAGTTATTGGAAGACCAAGGGCACAGCGAAGTGAAGTTTAAAGCAAGGGAATGGAGTCAACTGCAAGAATTGGTAACAATATTGGACCCGTTCCCGGAAGCCACTAACTTGGCACAAGGAGAGCATGTTGTCACCATCTGTGTTGTTCTGCCTTGCAGCTTGTCACTCCGCCACCATCTGCAGGACATATACGTGAATGTTCGCTACATGACTACCCTAGTCAGAGCCTTCAAAGACTCACTGTGGAAGCGATTCATTGGCATCTTTGCTACTGTAGGAATGGCAGATTCCCAAGAAGTAATCAGTGACCTGCCATTTGGGGATCCCATGTACCTTACTGCAGCTGTACTGGACCCGGCGTTCTGTATGATGTGGATTGAGGAAGACGGTCTGACGTCAGAAGATGAAAAAGCCAACTTAAAGAAACTTGTCCTGGGTATGTCCGATCCTGATAAAAGAATTCTGTTTTATTAGCCTTGGCACTTTGGGCACCTACCTGCTAAATGCAGCAAGTTTCATCTGCTGTTGCTGTCTGTTGTATTTAGCAGGGTTACTGTTAATCGCATTAAGTAATCTTTCATGAAAGCAGGTAATAAGTAATGCGACTTGCTTTCTGACTGGATAGACCTGAAATATATAAATGACAACAAAATGCGCCTTGACAAGAAACTTGGCAAGTTCTTCTTCAAAGCGTCTGAAGAAATGGTTGAAGAAATTTGCAGTGTCAGGCCACTTTAATGTTTTGTTTTCAATTCATATTTCATTATTTGAAGATAATTTTAATACATTAATTTTATATTAATTTGTGTTCATCTTCTTACATGCATTTGTACACAGATACTGTTATTACCAGGGCTACTGAAGCCAGCAAAGTACCAGTGGAAACCATTACTTCTTCTGCTAGTAGCGAGTAGGAGGATGTTCCTCCACAGAAGGTTGCTTGACTTTTCGCAAGTTACGAGAGAAGCAGACGCAAGAGTAGCAGCACCAATACGTCTATAGCAGCCCAATATCACAGATACATAGAAGTGGCCTCCGAGTATGGCGATTGTGAGAGAGGTCCTTATGCTTGTCTGAACTTCTGATTGGCAAATAAGACCAGCCTCTCCAAATTTCCTCTTGTTATCAGGGTGCTGTCTATCCCTGCTACTAGTTCCCCCATTGAATGTGTGCTCAGTCATAGTGGAATAATTATGAGGCCATACAGAGCAAAGATGGGTGATGCTATGCTATCAGATCTTGTTTATTTGAAGTGCAACAGTTTGTACATGAAAAAATAGATGCAGCAAAAAAGTTTCATTTCAGAAAATGGACCTCAGGCTCAGTGATTGAATTCAGTAAAATGATTAGTTCCCATCGATTTCAGTTTTCAAAAAGACTGTCGAAACAAACTACAGTTTTCAATCACCAAGTCTCTTGCATAAATAATAGTTGAATAAACTTTGAAAGGAACCTTACCTTTTATGAATAGGAAGTACACTTTTGTCAATTTCATGCTAGTTAGTCACACAGTCATGTTAGGTAAACTAACTACATGTAGCCTTACCCATTGGTAGCACTTAGTATACATGAAACTTGAACAATAAAATGTAAAAATACTACATGTAATCAGGCGAGTGAAGTCTTTTTATTTCATCTTTCATTTCTATTTCCACCATGCAAAGTACATTTATTAAACTAAACAGAGGTCCAAAGTAATGTAATAAACTGCAAAAACAGAAATAACAACACAAGTGAAAAAGGGGAATTACAGAGGCATTGTCAAAATAATTGGAGAAAAGGTGTTCAGCTGTCCAAAACTCATAACTCCTAACTTAATATGTTGATACCTGGTTCTTTTTGCTTATTACAGCTGGACAAAATAATGTGCAGCTTGACTTGTACTTGGAAAAAGAGACTTGTGATTTGACTTGCCCTGTGACCAAATGACTTGGGAATTAACTTGTGACTGGACCTAATGACTTGTGACTGACTTGGACTTGCAAAAATGACTTGCTGCCACCTCAGATCCCCTTAAAGGAGCAAGAATTGTATAGATCAATTGAAATATGCACATACTGCCTAAGACTCTTGTATGGGCTGTTTATTGCAATAAGTTACGTCAGTACTTGTGCCTCAAAATCCAGAAAGATATAGCATTAAGTTATAATGAAAGAGATAATTTTATTTTGAATGAGTACCTTTGCACATTGAACCAATTGTGATATTTGATGAAGAATGAAAAATAAAAAGATTTGGGAGTGCTGTGTTGTATTTCTGGGGAGGAGGAAATCTCTTTCTGCGCAGCCTTGTTACCCCCACCATCACAGTGGTATCCTGTGAGGGGGTTTTATCCTTTTTCGGGATCAAGTGTAGTTATTGCCATGTCTTTTCTTCTTATTCTGTTCTCCATGTTTCTGTTCATGAAAATATACCTCTATAATCTGAATGCTTGTAAAGCATTCTGAATATATGGCCTAAGATTGTTTTGTCAGCTGTGTGTTGCAATAAATATTGTAACGCAATGCAGTATCGATACTATCGATACCGGTTTTTGGGATTTTAAGTGTAAGGTTCCCAGCTGCTGTAGGTATGTCTGTTTGCATAATAATTTCAGTGTACCAGTTAAGCCTAGCAGTCCCTATAAAAACGCGTGGCAGGCATGACTCGCTTTCTCTTCCCGCCTGGTGGTCGACCAGAGCAGACCAGCATTCCTAACAACCTATTTGTGCGTTTGCGCAGGTAAGAAGCACGGTACTCAACTGTGAGCTTGGCATAGTAATGTAAATAATCGAGACATAAATCACCATACTGATCGCTAATCACATTGTCACATCGAAAATTAGTCAGTTTTTATAACTGCCCATTTTGAATCCTTAAAGAATCAGAAATTCACACTCATTGTAATTTCTTAAAAACGTTGTGCTGAAGAACAGTATAGTTGAAAGTTAGGTAAAGCGCCTTTGTGAAGGCGCTTGTTGTTGTGAATGAAGAAGAAATGTGGCCCTGTATGAACTGTATCTGCCCAGTTGTTATTGTCCCCGTCCGTCGAGCCTGAAACTGACCCTTGGGTGTGGTTGCTGCAAGTGGTGTGCTGCAGGCCAGGATGTAAATTGCCACCAAAACAGATCAGTGTCACCGGCCTTCTAAAGCTTGTCCGCTCGCTCACGTGGGCCGGCCCAACCGGTTAGCAGACTGTAAAGAAGAAGAGGAGACCGCCACAGTATCATTGCATATGCCAAAAATCCAGGAAGATAGTTAACATTCAGTTGGTAATGATAAAAAGCATACATTCGTTTTTTTTATGACTGGCTTTAGCATTTGACCAGTAACAATATTTGATGCATAAGGAAAAACAAAGTAATTTTGGAGTGGTGTAGAATGTGTTATTGGAATGTCAAATACTTGGAATGATTTGGCTTTTCCAATTCACATTTTGGTGCCCCAGTTACTAGTCTATAAGAATTTTAGCTGGTTGTTCAAAAACAAAACTGGCAGGTGGTGTAAGAGAAGCTTGTGGTTTAAAAGTAGCTGGTGTTCTAAAGTAGCTGGTAGTTTAAAGTAGGTAGTCTAAAAGAAGGTAAGGGGTAGGGGTGAAAAGTACAAAAATATTGACATCAAAATGTAATCCAGCAGCACTTGAAAAAAAATGCAATTTCATTTTAATAAACATGGAATAACTAACCTGTTACTCCTGTTGAAGAGATCGAAGAAGCTCCATCTTCACCGAGGAAATGGGTAAAATAATTGATACATACTCTGACCTAAACATTCCACTAAACGTGCAGCTAGGGGTGCATACATTTCTTAAAGGGAGCATTTAAAGCAAATTATCTGCAGTTTGCACGGGATACAATTGAAACACCCAGGAGGCGAGGACTTTCCAATAACAAAATGCTGGACTCTACATTCTTCATCAACAACCACATGAATAAAGGAGGAAAATTACCCAAAATATCTTAAAGGTCCACTTTGCTTTATTTTGTGGAAGGATTCTAATTGGTGCACAGGTTTTGTCGCCTATTGCATTAGTAAATAGAAAAACAAGTCTAAATTACATTTGCTTGAAGAGTTTGATAATAATATAAAGTACATTTGGGAATATATACATGTACAAATATTACTTCTGGTTTACATGTAGCCTTAATCATTCTAGTTTTGACAGAGGAAGAACTTCCTTCCACTGTTTCCAAATGTTTGTTTAGGTATTCTTCATTTCAACTTCACTTTAATATCTTTGGTCTCCTGAGCAGGAAAAGCTGTAATGTAACAGTGCCAGTTCAATGATTCCAACTTCATTTTCAACTGAACTAAGTGAATGGAAGCAGAATTTTCAATTGAATCACAACGACATGAATCAACACCCCATGGTTTATTATCCTGGGTCAGGTTAAGTACGCAAATACAAACATATTCATTTTTTTTTTACAGGTTGCCATTCTGTAAGGGGGCATACCTTTCAGAAACTTGTCCACAAACCCTGCATGGAACTTCCTCAATGTGGTTAAAAAAATGTTTTTTCCCCCCAATATCAATGCAGTGCTTTTAGTCATGACCTGAGTCTTTAGGAGTTTTTAGTAGCTTTTTGCAATCATTTTGACACCACTTTTGGGAAAATCCAACCTACCGGTACTGTTTTCAAGCAGCACCATTTTCCAAGACGGGGTAACCAACAATGTATCCAGGCAGGCACATGTGTGGCCTTGAACTTAAAATGACCATTAAAAATGCACGTCAGATTGAGTTGAAATTGTATTATACATGTACATGGGGCTGTCTTTACATGCACACCGAGTTAAAAAAAATCAGGCGTGGGATAGCCAATTTTTTGGGGGGGAGGGGATGTAATCCCCCACCAGCATGAGATGGTCCAAAATAACCCAGCTCTTTTTAGGGTTAAAGAGCAACAAACAGGATTGACATTTATGAAAATTCCCATGACAACAGTAGAATGTAGGAATATCAATTATATTTCAAACACCACACAAAATTTTTGGTTATGGTGCTTTGGTACTTTCTCCCTTTATAGTCTAGAGTGGGCAGGAGAAAAAAAGAAAAGCCTACCCCTCTTTATCAGGCAAAACACTATTCTGCATTTTGTTATAATTTCAATGTAAGTAAAAGTGCACATTCAATGTGTCTTTTCTTAAATGAGTCATTTCAGAGTCAACACAGCACATATGAAACACACTGTAGGTCATTTGAGACAAAATGTGTGAGATTGTCCCTATCACCATGGGATAAGGGATTAAATAGCGCCCTCTCAAATTTGCAATACTGCACTCACTTTAAAAAAGGAATTATAAAACTCATAGTGTCCACAAAACCTGTGAGATTTTCCTCACAAATACATGTACAAAACTTTAAATACAATTGCCTGGAAGACTTTCACAAAATTTCAAATTTACAAGACGTACTTCAAACTTATGAATGACTAAGAAGTAAGTTCTGACTGAAATTCTGCACCAAAATACTGTCAACATGAAGGCCAGGAATGTGACTCCACTGCATTGACAATATTGGAAATATAAACTGCTTGGGGCATTTCTGAGCAAAACACCATCATTACCAGAGATGTCTCAATTTCAACCAATTTTGTGTTGACAGCACTTTCCCTTGCAATAAACTTGCATTGTCAGAGAAATCCTTGCAACATTGGTTCTGATCTTTCAAAGTCTCAAGAAACACTTGGCTGAATCTGAGGACTAGCAGTCTAACTTCAACTTTTGCTCAGCAACATGTACCCCTTTCCTTGATAGCAAGCTCAGCAACTTCCATTGGTAGTCTAATGGCATTAATTATTCATATCTCTCATTCTGTGTATACTTGTAACAATTTTTTTGTCCACGTTTCTTGAATACTGGTGGCTACTGACATATCACAAAAAAGGATCAAATAAGACACTCCTTTGAATATAAAGGATTGTATTTACATGACACTTATTGCACGTTGGGCAAATGTAAAATGCTCATAAATAACACAAAATGGTAGAAGTTAATTATGACACAGCACAGAAATACTGATCTAATGAAAGCGCTAGTTCAAAATGGAGAACAAGTTCTCTGTTGTAGTCAAAGAGTCACTTGCAAAGACGAAATCTTCAGAAGAACTTCAATTGAAGTTACATGAATACATTCCAACATATATTCATGTGACAAAAGATATATATCAAATAATTAGAAAAGAGCTAAGATATGCACAATACATAATTATAACTGTCAGAGAATTAACAGTCGAATAATATTATTTCCAAAGAAACCATTTGAAATTATAATGGTGCAAATTTGGATGTATTTGCAATTGGCCCGTTCTTTTCATTTTCAAGCTTTCATCATTTTGACATGCCTTTAGGTAGCAATGTACACATGCAATGGGTAGAAACGTGTCTTGTGAGTATAAATACTTTAGATCAAAGGAATAACATGAACTGAAACAAGTTTATGTAACATAAACCTGCCTCCTGGGCTGGAGGATGTTGAGAACAGAGGCTAATCCAATTAAACAAAACAAAGAATGTGCTTTCAGTGAGTTGTTTAATAATTCTAACAAAATAAATTATGAAGATCATCTTGTGGCTTGCACGGCCTTACAATTTAACTCATATTTGTATTTGGCACAGCTTTTACGAACAAAACCTACAAAATCAAAATATCATCCCAAAATGTGTAACTTCACACTCAATTACACTTGACAGCAGCAAGTAGCAATTATGTATCCAATTATGTAAACTCAAGACCTGATGCAGAAAACCTTACATTTCAGCTTCAACTTGCAGCACAGCTATGATGGATACAAAAAAAGGTTTGTGGTTTAATTTTATCTCCGACCAAATCTTACCACCATACTTTGACAATGAGACCATTAAATTCTCCCCACCTCCTGCCCCTTATCACTCTGGACAACACTGTATCATTTCATTAACAGCATATACCGCTGCAGTGGAACATCACTTCATCCTGAGGCTGTAACCAATTTTTTGTGAACAGTGGTTTATCTCACAAAGCAACCTTTGTTCCACCTATCTTAGAGCAGTACATAGCACCAAGAACTCATCAACTGATGATAAAATTTCACCTCTGAATGGGTCATCTATGCTTTTTGGGGGGTCCAGAACAAGGACACCCAGACAACATCTCGTGAATTTAAGACACATGTAGGATGCGTGGACTTTACATCTGCCATGATCTTAACGATAACCACATTAATGATCAAACAACAACAGCAGGCACATATCCAAAGAGCTGGGCATATTTCCTCACAGGGAGGAGGGAACAGCCCTGAATGTGGAAATGACAACCTCAGTGGGTTTTCAACTAACAAGGCAAGCTTAACATCCTATCTCAATTCCTGTAGCCCTCATTCCCATTTTGTAATGCAGTGGCAGTAATGGCAGTGAGAACTTACTTGACTTTTCCCTCAGTGGCTGACTGTTGTCTCCTTCTGTGCCTCCTGCTGAGCCGTTATTTGAGCAGCTAGGTCAGCAAACTTTGCCACATAGTCTACACTGTTCTCATTCATCATATATTGCAAATGAGTGTCCACCTGATGTGGCAAACAAGAAAGCAATAAAAAGCACAAACTCGGGTTGTGTAAAAAGGGAAGAACGTGTGGCTAAATACAACAAATTTTTAACAAGTTGGAGGATGAAGTGGGGGAAAAATACCCATAGTCATATGTATTTTATTTCAAATGGGTACAAAATTACTTTGAACAACGCATGCTGATAGGAGAGGTGCCGTGTGTAACATAATAAAATGCTAAAATAAACATGTTTCCAGTTTCCATCTACTTCAAAATATTGTGCAATACCCAAACTTTAAAATGGCTCCCTGTAATGTCAGGGAAGAATGTAGGACATGTTGTAGGAAATTTGATGTACTCACATCTTTGGACATGGAGGAATCCCTGGAGGATTCGATCATGAGGCTGGGTTGGGGGATGGTTAATGAACCAGAGGTGGAGCTGATGATGCTGTGTCTCTCCTTCTTCTCAGGAGACTCAAGATTGGCAAGGATGCTGCTCAGTGAAATGTCCACATTCTGAAAGGGATCCATGCATGTGGGAATTTATCGAATCAATCAATTAATCCTCTTGTGAGAGAAATGTTACATTTCTTATAAGTCTATGCCCATGTAAATGCTGCTCACTAGTGACAAAGAGTAACATATATGCAGGATTGGATAATTTTAATTATCACAACACAAGCCATAAAAGTAAACTGTCACAACTGAATTAGATGAAATAAATATTTTCTTTTTTTCAATGAGTTTCTTCTCTTTTAGGAACATGGTTGTTGTTGGTTACAGTAATCCTAGTTTAACCCAAATTCTGTCTTTTGTTTAGCCCTCCGGTCTAGTAGTGGAATGCATGGGCGTGCACGAGTGCATCCTTATTAGTCATTGAATGTAGATGTGTGTACATAAGGTTGGATGGAAGTGGGCGTGGGTGAGATTTGCTACATGTTGCGGTAGAAGGAACGTGGTGTTTTGAGTTCATACTGACATAGCCATTTTGGTTAGCTCATGCTGTCCCTTGGCTATCAGCACAGATGATTTTGGCTCTGCAAAGTCTTGGGCAAAGCTTGGACAAACGTAAGTTGGCATGACAAAAGCAGTCACGGATTTGTGTGTTGATGTATATGGTCTGCGGAGCACTGATGTCCTTGGGACCCAGCTAACTTGTGAGGCCTAAGAGTTGGCTTCAGCAGTCACTGTTCCACTTGCCGAGTGAAGCCTATTCCACAACCTGCAGATGTCTTTGCAACAACCTGATAATTCTCTGCAGCATCATCCCGTCCCCTGTCTTTGCCCTGTGACTTGGACAATGGGTGTCCGAGGAAACTACCACAGCTGTGACAAGGACCATTCGAATCTCCTATAAAACCTTTATTTATTATTATTATTAAATTCCTAATAATTCTCGATAATTTCACTGAGTTGGTGATTTTCATGGAAAATGTGTTGTACTTGATTCTTGATATTTGTAAACCCTGTTTCACTTTGTTGTTAATTTACAAGTGATATGGTGACTCGATTTTGGCATTGATTGTTAAATTTATGAAAGGTTTTGTTTTGCTTGGAAATTGAGAATATTCTACTTTAATGCAACTTTGAGTTTCGTGCTGTCACGTACGACTGGATTGAGTATTGAGAAGGTTAATTAATAAAATGCTCAATTAGAGGACTAACCTGTTGATCAGAATTTTAGACTGATTTTGAAATTAAGGAAAAGTTGAACATATTGCTGACAACTGTATATGATGTGAATTAATGGATTTGAACTGCTGATATTGATTGAATTGAGCATCTTCCATTGATTGGAGGAGTTGAACAGTATAAAATAGAAACTGGTCAGTTTTAACTTTTCAGATTTGTAATTAGCGGAAGTGATTCACTAATATAAAAGAACCAGGAAATAGAAATATTTTATAACTTTTACTAAAACCCTTGAAGTTGCATCTTTGGGTTTCAATAAACCTTATTTTAATTTTTTGTTGTGCAATTGTAACCCATATTTTTATGCTTTTTTGGTTTTTATGCTAATGCTATTTTATGCCAATGTATATTGGCATATTCATGAGCACAACTATGATGTCATCCAAGGCACTGAATCTTAATGTTGCACTTATTTGTGCACAGAATATTTCTAGATTTTTTTTAATCACTGCTAAGGCAGATTTTGTTTTCTTTGGCAATTTATTGCTGTTTAAGTATATGGCAATAATCCAGCAAAAATCCTTTCACATTAATGTTCCCGGATAGCAAATTTGGGGTTCACAATTTGAACAAGAAAACATGCAACCTGAACCATGTCTTCCTGGATTTACATCAAAATGATTTACATCACTTGTCAAGAAATGCTTGGTCAATTTTTAATGTTTGAAAAATTGCACCATTCAGTTCATGTAACTCAAAAAAATATCAAACAGTCTTCATGCATGGAAGAAGAGTACAGAGATACACACAAAGCGATTCTATAAAAAATTCATTTCCTGGATCCTGGTACCGTGCATTGAACTATTTGAGACCTATTTTTAGGTGACTCAGAATATTTCAAAAGTAGAGATTTCCCTGCAGTTCCAAATTGTGTATAGTTACTTTGAAAAAAATTAGGTGTGTATTTGTACATATTTGAATCAGTGTGTTGCCGTGTTGTTTTTGCAAGAGTCCAGGAAAACTGGTGACATAAACAAACCAAGTGCAGGAAATGTTATGGCATCAATCCCCAAATTCACTGAGTACAGGCAACAAATAGTCTATTATCTCCTTATTTGTAAATTGCCAAGGAAAGTCTTCAGCTTAGTGCCTCAATGCCATCAGACCGTGGATCTTTTGAATTTGCAATCCAGTCATTTAACATTGTTCACAAGTTGTTGATTCTAATTACTGAAAGTTTGACTTAGAAAAATTGTTTCACCTGTCTTGAGTTTTACTCAAGCTATTTGTTACAGTCATTTTACTGTAACTGTTTGTAGCTATAAAAAATACAAAAAATGGAATTACCTCTCCATTGAGCCACTGGTTGTCTGGACTGAGAGAATTGAGCTTGAATGGGGATGAGGACGGACTAGATATGTGCAGTGGTGGAGTTGTGGTACCAGACCCACGCACTGGGGACATAGAGGGCAACATAACGCTGGGGTTACTAGTGTTTGGAGAAAGCTGCTGGTTGAAGCCTATGTAGAGGAAATAATAAACAAGATTGTTAGTTGTATTAAATATAACACACTATAATACAGAGCATTGGAAAATCCTCCATTCCTCAGATTCACACTGAACTTTTTATTGCCACTGAAGTTATATCTACAATTACAATTTTGGTTAGATTTTTGAATACAACAGTGGCAATAGCTTGTGGATAAAAACCTGGCCACATGTAACTAAATCTTCAGAATATGTGCCGCCTGGAGTATAAGCTGCACCACGCAAATATCTGCAAATTAAGATTTGAAGTCAACGTATTACCCACACTGGCGTATAGATTGCACTATGGTGCATGATGTCATGTCATGAAGCACTTGTACATGTAGAGTATTAACGTGGTGCGCTTCGACTTTGTAGCGGGAAAGCATGACTGCCTTGTTGAGCTTCACATCGCTTGCATGTGTGGCCAGCCGGCTGGCCTGTGACCTAGGCTAGGCTGCGCTGATCAGGGCATGGCGTCTGTGACTGAGTTCATTCTTGAGATGTTGCCATATAAGCCGCCCAGGGTATAAGCCATATGGAAATTTTTCAGCGTAAGAATCAATGTGTAAGCCACGGCCTGTCTTCCAGAAGTTATGGTAAGCAGATTCATTCCTATATCAAAAACATCTCTAGACTGCATTGCACAAAAATTGATGAAAACTGTCAACAGAGATCTCAAGGCAGTTCTTCAAACTTTTTGACACAGAATTCAGCTTTGACATCAGATTGACTCGTCCGACCAGAATACTGTAGAAAAATGATGTGGCAATTATCCGATGTAATTTCGGTCAGTAACTATAAGACACAGGTCTGAAAAGGCCACTTGATTCAATGGCAAACTGTCATATCCTTGTTACAGGAAAAAATTCAGAGAGAAGAATCTTACCAGTGAATGACTCTGAACCCATGGGTATGTCCATTAGACCATCTCCACCACCTGCAGCAGCAGATGAGGGCAATGAATTCTCCAGCAATGATGACAAGTTAGGAGCAGGGATTGCAAAATTCTGGCCCACTGTACCCCCTGTGCCCAGAGTTGCACTAGTCTCGGGCATTTCAAAGCTGCTGCTGGGAGTGACTGACACAATCTCCATAGTGTCATCGATGATCTGGGGGCTGGGGTTCAGCATGGGGGTCTTGGTGGGCTCAGTGCAAGGGACACAGGATGTGTTTATTGGCAGGGGTGATAGGTGGGCTGGCTGTGTGTGCTCCGGTGGGCTAGGTCTCAGGGTGATGTCTATACCTGCTGCTGCACTGGCTGCTTCAATCTATTCAAAAAAGGAGAGAAAAGAAGTGCCTTAGCTTTGAAACAACTGCCGTTACAAGGCTAATAATATGTAGATTGGGCTTTCAGTCTTAACCAACTCCAAAGGCTGGAAAATTTCTTCTCAGATTGTACTCAAAGAAACATCCGAAACCAGGAATATGCTACATATTTGTCTGTGAGCTATCCACCTACCTCATTCATTGGGGCCACACCTCCTGGGAGCAAGGCTGTGGGCGTGGACAAGGCAAGAGAGGACACAGGGGAGGGAGCACTGAGGGGTGAAGCAACCATTGATGGGCCTTTAGAGCTAACAGATGATGCAACGTAGCTGACAACAGGACTGCTGGTACCATCTGTGTTGGATGGCATGGATGCCTTGCCTGAATGGTGAGATCAAAATCACCATGTTAATTAGGCTGAAATACCTGCTAGTATTCCTACCTGGAGGGCATGGGAGGAGACAACTGAAACACTCTGGCTTTAGGTGAAATGCATCAGATGATGGAGGACACTACGAATTCTAGAAGCATTACAGGGTTTAACAGTGGAACTTGACAAGATGTATCTTACACTTTTCCTGTAAAAATCATAATTTATGGAAATCCTACCACCTGACTTGAACAAAATCCATCTGATCCGACTTACTTGGCTTAGCCTTTGCCAAGGATGCACTGCCTGACAGAGAACCAGCAGCAGCTGGTCCTGGGGCGATAGGGACTGGTCGCACTATGGTCTTCTGACAGACACTGTCTGGAATAGCCAGCTGGACTGGTGTGAATTGACCAGTTTTAGACATGGACATCATGTGCCTCGTAGGACCTTTGTGCTCAGACTGGGGTCTGGGTAGCAATGTTCTCTGTAGAAATTTGGGGAAAAAAGGCAACATTACTTGAACTTTCAAGTCGTGAAAACTGATGACCATCACAACTATTTTTTATCATCTTCAAGTCCAGAATGCTTGAAGCTCATAAGCATGCAAAGTAAATAAGAAAAGCCCATTCCTACAAGGAATAAATGGTAAATGTTGGTTTCCAATGGATGAAAGCATGCTTCCAACAGACGTCCAGATAAAACAGGAATGTTAAAATACTCCATCAGCATCATGATGTATTCCACCATACCTCATGGCAACTGGAAATATTTCCAAACTTCTCCATTTTTCATGAGGAAAATGAGAGGAATCACCCAATTAATATGCATTTATCAACGAGAATAATCACTTACTGGCACTGAGTCATGAATGCAGACACACTAATTTAGGTTTAGCACAAAGCAATACATTTAAGTTGTCAGTATGTTTACCTGTACAACCAGAGGCTTTCTGCCTCTTCTGCTGTTTGGCTTAAGGAAAGTTGGCTGCTTCTGCAGAGAGAAATTTTTGTAGATAAGTACAAATCAAAATATTTCAGCGAAAGATCTGACATGTATTGAAGATATCTTTTTTCACATCTTTAATACAGCAAATTTTGAAAGAAAAAATTGAAGCAAACTGTCTTCCAAATTACTGTCTGTTAGTCATTTCTTATGCTATCCACTTGAATACTTGAAGACACTACACAACTGATGTATATGCTCTCCTCATACCTGCAGTGATTCAATTTGTGCCATGAACAGCTTCTCTGCTGCAGTGGTTGAGGACTCCACTGAGGCTAGGCAGTGAGGCTGCGGCGATGGTACAGCAGGTGTAACAAACACTCCACTGTCTTTATCCTTAGCGTTTCCCCCACCACTGGGCTTGGCTGTAGGTCGTGAGTTGACTCGCATCATGCCATTGCTGGTGGCACTTCTCTGGCCTCGTGCATTGCTGGGGCTCTTGGAGAGTTGAGAAATGAAGGAGGCCTTAGACGGCGGCGTTGCATTGGTGCCTGGCATCGCATTGAAGCGTGGAGGAGATGTTACTGTGCCAACAGAGACACTCTGAAAGACAAAAATGTTAGCAATGATTTTTCTAAAGTAACTGTGTTTTACTTTACGTAAAAAAAAATCAAGCTGAGCTCTCCGTTTTGATGTGCCATTCAGTTTGGCATCCTGATGAGGATACACATGTGGATGAAAAATGTTGAGGGTTCCAACTGAATTACGTTGTGCAACATTCTTTTTAATCTTTTAAATCAGAAGTGGCTGTGATGACTTGCGACACATTTTGTTAGGTTGGATTACAAATGTCTCCCGTCATAATCCGTATTACTGTAATTTACAATGCACATCTCATAGTTAGAACATTTAACCGCAACTAGCAACATACCCTTCTTGGTTTCCTGATGTCCGTGAACTCTGTGCTGGCGATTGCAAACAGTTTATGCAGGAGATTAGACTCACTGGAAGACTTGTTATTACCCGAGCCACTGTCATCCTTCACAAACTCATACTCGAACTTTAAACGGGTTGGCATATTCAACTGTAGATAGAAAGGTAAAAAAAGCAAAAGAAGTCTTTGTATGTTACCGTTCAAGCATCTGTAGTTATTATCATTTTTTCCCCATTTCTTTAGGTTTTGATCCTTTTTTTGCAGTGTCTGTTATTCCTTGGAAACTGCTCACTGTGGTTTGTAATCAAATCCTAGTGCTGCTGAATTTTAGTCAGGGTTTACCACGTTGAAATAGAATAGGACTTCAATGTGAAAAGCATTCAGGACTGACTAAAACAAAGTCACTGTGTAACTGCACTGATTGCACAGCTGTGCCACTCATATCAGAGAAAATCCAATACAAGTAATATTACACATTGTACAATGGAGTTTTAGATGACACTGCTCAATAACTATTCCCTTCAACATCTTACTACAAATAAACACTTGATTTTAGTGCACATAAACTGAGCCTTCTCTCCAGTCTTGTGTGCAACTCAAGAAGCTATCTCTATAGTTCTCTAAAGATGCCATTAATGTAAATACATGTCTTCGTTATAGCCCTGCCGACTTACCATTAAATAAATATCCGTCATGGTAAGATTCTTGGAGTTCTGTGCTGATAGCTCTCCCATCAACTGTTCATCTTTGGTAAATTCCTTCGCTGGCGCCACTGTCCATTCCATTTCCTTCAGAGGAATTGTCTCTTTCTCTGCATTTGCCTGCACTGCCTCTTCTGTCTCAATTTTCTCTGTTTCATTCACCTCTGGTTTCACAGGACTCTTGGATGAATCGCTCTTGCTGATTTCCATGGATTCCAAGTCTTCCGATTTTCTACCGTGATTTGAGGTTACTATGTTCACCAGTTGCACTTCCTGGTCCCCCACATCATTGGTACACTCTTCTATTTTGGCAAGTTTAGCCTTCTTACGGGGTTTGTACTTTCTGGGTTTGCCCCCCGCAGTGGTACTGTCACAGTTAGCCTTGTCAGCTGCTGTTTTGTCCAACCCGGGGACATCTTTGGTGCAATCCAGGCTACTCCCGGTTGGAGTGCGAGTTGATGGCATAGCAACATTTCCAGCCGCTGCACGTTGGATCTTGGCAGCCTTGGATGCGGCTACAGCCTTGGTGACCCGAGCTTCAGTATCCAATGAAAAAACAGCTCTGCTGTCACTGTGCATATAGCGTCCAGTCACCTGATTATGGGGCGTCACTTCTACTCCTTCTGGAAGCACCAGCCGTAGCCGCAGAGAATCTTTCAACTCACCTGTAGGCTTCAGTGTGTTCAGCTGCAACATGCGACAAGTTAAGGTGACAATAAAGTCTACAAAGTTAGGCGGAGAGAGATAAACATGAGAATATCAAAAAAATGGTTCTGAAGGACTCATCTTCCGGGATTAGTTATGTGCATTAGAAAGATCACGCACACCCCCCACCTTGATTTCAACTCATTTCAATACGTTATTTTCAGATAAGCATGGCTCCTGACGACAGACAGAGCATACTGTCCAAAACATTGAGTACCACCGGTTCTTTTCAGAACCCCACACTAAAAAAGATATATCCATGGTGCTACCGCAAACCTATCAAGTTTACTTGGTACCTCCACCATGAAAAGCTTCAAATCTCATCTATCATGGCTCCAGTAACAAAATATTAGCATTGTCTCCCTTCAACGAATACAACAAAGGAAATTGGAGATGCGCTTACTCACTTCAGTTTACAGAGTGTTTACTTATTGTGTTTGTCCGAACAAAATCAAAGATACTTGGAAAATTGTCTGACCAACATATCAATAACAGCCTTTAAAATATCAACACAGCATGTGGGATTATGGTGTCCAATTTATTATTAGTTTTGTGTTGGAATTACGTTAATTACACCCAAGGCATTCATCAGGAATGATGGCTCATCACCAGCCTATGTCACCTAGGATTACGCGTGTATGAACACGTGTATACTTTATATGCACACATGAAATCGCCCCATAATTCTTGGTGCATCGTATAAAACATAGGTCATGCTGTCAACCAATGTTCAATTTTCTGTGATAACCCATGCATGACACATAACCTGGGTACCAGGCAATATGGACCAGTAATGGTTGGCTGCATTCGCGCGGTTCTTCCAGTTCAACCTGAGTGTTGTGCGCACGCATTAAATTTCTGTATGTGTGATGGGAGTATACCCTTGTTGACCTGTGGGTCTTACTCCTGCCAAACACGAGTAGCTCACTTGAACGCAGCCCTTAGTTATGGCTCGAGCTTTTTCGTTTTTTTTGGTGTAATTTCGCACTCTGAGTTTACGTATACATGGAAACAACTTCACGGTCAATCTTTTAATGGAAATGATTTTGGGGCTGTAAGGATACAAGCTTTGAGCGATGAGGTGTCCACTTCTCATTGAGATAGCTAATGATGCTACTTAGATTCTTCTTGAGAGAAATCATTAATCTGTGAAGACAAAGTAGGAAAACATTTATATAAACTAAGTTTTCAAGGAAAGGGTTCCAACGGTAGAGGCAACTTAATAAGTTTATTTGCAGATTCAGCTACGCCTTGAGGTCCGAGCCACAGACCATGACATTGTCTTTAATTATGGAATCAAATCCCAAGAGGAATTCCTAATGCTAGTGTCTTAGAGCAAGACAATTAACTACAAAAGGAAATTAGAACAAGCAGGTTGGGCAAACACAGTTACCAATCACAGCTACCGGCAACCCAGCCCATCAAGATCTGGTGACAATATTTTCTGTGTACACATCTCACCTTACTCTTGGGTTGTGTGCTGTGCCTTGCACTGATGCCCATGCCTTGTTGTTCCTGGGCTGTAACTCCATCAAGACATGAGCGGGTAATTTATATGGGTCTGACTTGTTTTCATCACCTGACAAATCAGTCACAATAACAAAGTGCAAAAATTACATTTCAAAAGGAACTAGTTAATCAATTCTTCCAGGCTACAAGTAGTTGTCAAACAGGAGAACTTCTGTGTACACAAAGTAGTAAGATGCAATATTGATGTGTTGGCTATCTGTTCAGCAGTCCACAGCATGCAAATGGTTAAGAAAGTTCAACCATCTTTCAACAGCACTATCTAGCAAGGTGTCATGTTTCCCCTGTTTTCTTGTCAGTTTTAATAGCAATCAGCAACAAAGCTGTTGTACTTTTACTAAGAACCTGTATGAATTTTGTGTACCGTGCATCACTTCTCACCTTTGAGTTTTCTGAGAGCCTTGCAGAGAGGGGTTTTAACTCGTCGGTTCTGGCCACGAACACGAATCACAGTTTGCCTACAAATTGTCACAGTAAATAAGAACCATATTAGTGTCGCTTCAAGACATCTTTATTGACTGAGTACATACAGAGTGATAGCACTGGCAATTTTCCTATGAAATGGCAGTAGAACAATGCCATGAAATGTCCTTTATTTTAAGCATTCACCAGAAGATTAAGAGAAGATTAAGATTGAGACTTTATCCACCTTCCCTGAATTCATTACGCCATGACGAGAATGCCAAGAAATCATATCACTGTTGGGATGAACTCATGCTTGAATGACATTGTTGGAAGTGCATCAGCCATTTTCAAGACCAAAATTTTCTGATAGATGTTGCAGACAGAAATTACATCCTGTTTAAGTGTGGGCTTTTAAGGAAAGCTCGTATGACAGATGACTACAGAATGAGACTGAACTACTATCATGTATACCGATTTTCTTGAATGTAAAGACCAAACTGAACTTGAGGGTCTCCCCTTAAGTTTATTGAAAGTTTTAGCTCAAAAGCTGATGATAGCAGTTCCTACACATGTGAGGGAATTTCTAAACTCACCCTGTAGTGACGAGTTGATTGAGTCTCTGTCCCACTTTTCGGGTGATTCCTCCCTTCAAATTCAGTTTCTTCCTTAGCTCACCAAAGTTGATAAGGGCAAAAAGTTCACTGACTGTCCTCTCTTGATCTGGGGATGGAAATACAACAGAACTCACCACAGTTTGAACTTTCAAAAAAAAGGAACTTTGTTTTCAATGCTTACAACGGTTATCTATGAATACCAAAACAGAAAAATATGTTCTGAAAGATGAAAAAATACATTTATTTTCTTACTAAAACATTTTTTGTAGAATTTGTCTGAGAATGAAACAAAATAAATAATGACTGTTTTTTTCCATAGCATATATCTAGTAGTCAATTTAGTCAGCATGAAATTCTAACCCTTGAATAATATGTTGTGACTTGTTCATACTCCAAACTCCATTCCTCCAAACTCATTAAAAGGTAATGTGAATGGGAACAGATTCAACGGAAATGCTCACATTCAGTAACGGATTATTTTGAGGATAACATCAAGATTGATTAAAACTGAACTGACCTGGCTTGGGTGAGATGAAGGTGAAAAGCTTGTGGCAAGTTCTATAGTAGAGATGCCTCACCTGCAAATTTACACCAAATAATTGGGATCTAAACAAGTTTTGTGTACGTCTATGCCCATTTGTACTATACTTCATTGACTAACCTTTTATACAATGCATGTCGGAAACAAGGGTTTCAATTAGAACAAGAACAGCTACAAGTTGCCACCAAAAATGTAACTTGTCTAAAATCATGGTGCATTTTGGCACGTGTAGAGTCTCCAATATTTCTCAAACATTTTTCTGAACAAAATCTGAGTTACAAGACATTTCCCCGCAACATTCCAAAATCAACCATGTTGGTGGAATAACATGTCAGTGACAGGACACAGAAGTACCTGGTTTTTGTTTTTGACTTGATGAGCTGCCAAGCCAAGCTTCTTGTGTCGCTGATCGATGTACTTCTGAATGGCATCAAAGTCTTTTCCATACTGTAACAGTTCAAAGAAAGGATAGCAAACACTTCTCAAATACTTATGCTAGAAGGCCCAAAACTAACAATTAAGTTTGTGCTTCACCACTTGAGGATATGGTCATGCACACAGCCTGTATGGTGAAAGCAACACCAAGAGACAATGGAAAATCAGTATCTATAACGTTAACGTTGTATGTTTGGTATGCACCTCATTAACAGCTTCAAAGAACAGCGTTGTTTCTCCATCACTCCATGCCTCCCAGCATCTCTTCCTGTCAGGCTTGACTTCAGCTTTCTCTGTCTCATCTTTGAAAGAGAAACAGATCATAAAATGTTAAGTGTACTCAAGAGCACTTTCTTTCCAACGGTTAGGAAAATTCTGACATGACGCCAGGCATTGATAAAATACATCAACTAACGCCGAAATCCCATTTCTTTCTCTTCTCATCTTCACAGCATTTATGAGTCGTCTGAGTCATTCTACAAGCTTTAAGTATCCATAAACATACGTGAAACACCTAAACGTCCTCATAATAAGACACAAAACCAGGATATCTTCATGGATATAGAAAAGAGCACAACATTCAACTATGATAAATTACGAATCAAACAGTTCCCCCAGTGAACACATGTTTTTGGCATGACCTTTGTTCACATCTGTTATAGACAACATGTAGAAGCATGTAGTATTTTACATATTTCGACAAACAGATTTGAAAATTCACCTGGTTTGGGGGGCGAAGGTGGGGGTGTTGGCTCTTTTTTCTTTCTTTTTACACTAGATCTAAGGAACGGGTGGTTGAGCGGCGGCCGGACTGGAGCAAGCTGCTCTTGTTTAGTCTCGGGCGCTGGCAAGTCTGTCGTGTCTGTAGACTGTGTTGGTCCATTCTCGGACACAACGCCCTCGATATGGGACGCCTTCATTTCAGCCGATTCTTCCAGATGAATCACTTTTCGATCCGAACTAATTTCCTCATTTGTCCCAGGCTGCACCTGCACCCTAAAAATTATGAAATAACGAACCAACTTGAGAGTAATATCGAGCAGATTAGTTACATATTCTTCGCGTTGTAAAACGACGAGAGACTGAAAATTCAAGATGGCGACGGCGATCCAGTCTGTTTTCGAACAACACTTCCTTTGCACGATGTGAAACATCAGACCACTATAACGGATATTCCTTACCAATCAATCAACAAAAACTGCCTCAAACCTAGCAAAATAACCAAAATTACACATCTCTTATTGACAGGGTTAAAGATGTGAGACTCATGAGATTTGTTTGCAAAAGTCGACACTTTTTGTCAACACGTCTGAAAACTACCAGTGCGCACGCACGTCACACATCAGGTCTATGATCAAATCTAAATTGGTGCAAATCTTGGATGAAAATTTGAGACCAATTTACCCCTTCTTCGCGGCGTCGGCTGGTGTCTCATCTCCCCTAGGTTCCTTCTTACGCTTCACCATCGACACGAGTGATGATTGAATTTATTCTGGGCAAAAATTACCATTCATTTTTTGAGAGAAACTTCGGTGTTTTCACAATGACAAACGCGCAATGTGAAACAGGCCTTGCTGCCAACATAAAAAGCTGGTTGCAACGAAGAGTCATCAGCGAACCCACGGCACGCAGTTGGCAACTCGCTTACAATTTTCGTTCGTACGTTTTGAATTTAAAATGTTCCATTTTCTTTACACATAACAAAAAAAACTAAAATCAATTAAACCCTTTTATATTAAGGTTGTACCCCTCTATTTCCCGTTTTCTTTCTACAAGGACGCAGATTTGGGAAATATAAATACTCCACCGCAAAGAGTGTAGGCTACTCAGTGCTGTGCAAAATTTCAATTTTGTTCGGAAAGGTGGAAGGTTTAAGCCTACGTCTTAAAATAATAGGCTGATGTTTATGCATTAAATTTAATTATTTGAATAAAATTGTCTGTTTTCATTATAAAATACAACAAATTTCAACACAGGCTTGCAAATTCATTCAGCCAACCAACCCCTTCGATGCAATCGCTAAACTCACTGACGTCTGTATAACATACTGGTCTTGCGTGATGTATGAGATTTCTAATTACTTGAGTTTAAACTTGATCCATTTGTTGAAATTTATCCAAATATTTTAACTCAAGAAAAGTGATTGAACACAGAATTTTAAAATTAGGACTTTAATGTAGTTTTTAATTTAATAATCAGATGGAAAGATAGCTAATTACAAATTGGTCTGAGTGGCATGTGCCAATCATTAGTTATTGCTACAGTCGAGTCGACAATCCAAAATAGTGACTAAAAATGTATAAAAATTTGTGTCACTCAAAATTCTCACTCCATACATTCACCATTCAAAGATTTAGTCAGAGTTAAAAAATAAAACAGATGAGTTTCCTTAATTACTGATGATCTTCGAAGGCAAGACATTTCAAGTTCAACACAATTAAGATGCATACACCAGTACACACCTACATCGACTTTTCATGTTCTGCCTCGGCTCGTAAAAGGTACCGATCAAAGCTTGGTGTACTATTATTCAAACAGCGCATATAATCTCAACAAAAGAAAGACTTTAATCTAATGATATTCACGTACAAACAAATGAATTCAGCAATACTGCTGAAATCCCTACCAAAACGATAAAAGTACAATATAGTAGCCCTTCAATGGCATTAAGCTACTTAATCAAAGTTGCCGTCTAGACTTGTTTGAGAACCTCTTTTAATTTCTGGGGGTCTCACCTTTTTCTGATATTTTCATTCATCGTACAGTAGCGCTAGACCGGTCAACTATTGCAGCAAATCATATGAGTTTAACAATTATCCTCAAAAATGGCAAACTCGAAGTAAGTTATATCCATCTCAACTGTCGTGTACACTGCCAGCATCCGCCTTCCAGACTTAACCACCCTTCAACCAAGCCCGCGCTCGTACTTGTCAAAATGGGCTATTCGCACTCACACAGTGGGCTGCTGAAAGTCCACACGTTTGGGTGCAGGTACACGTACAGTACATGTAAATGTACATGTACAGTACATACATGTACAGTACGTGAACTGAACGTGACATGTACATGTACATGCACCGAGCACGTATGCGCACGATGTAAACACAAAATGGACTGGCGCCAAATGACGAACCATTAATTGGGAAACCCCATCTCCTATTGGCCATCTTCACATCATGTGACAAAAGGAATCTCCCGGCCAAGAGCCTTAAAGGGGCATCCTGAGTATGCTCGTCAATTAAGGTACATGTGCATCTGATATGGAGTACATGTACACCCTTATTTGGGGGGGGGTGAATTTGCCTGTTGTTTGAACAATTTTTTTTCTTCAGTTAATATAACTCGGTAAACTTAACAGCAGTTACATTTTTGGCGCTTTAAATTTTGCAGATTACATGTATAACAAATTGTGAAAATAGACAGGAGAGTGAAAAGTGTACCCTTTCACAATAGATGTCTGTAATTAATTTGGACTAACAAATCTGCAAATGCATGTATGTAAATGAAGCCGTGGTATCAGAACTTTATTCATGAAGTCATGATGAAACGGTTCTACTTCTAATTTCCTATCGATTAAAACGAGTAAAATTGAATGCATTCTCTGAGTAAATTCTGGTAGCTGCTGAAAATAAATTATGAAAAAGTAGTCCAAGCAGAACCAGGCTGGCTGGGCCAGTGGGGGAGGGGATAGAGGGGTGTCATTGTCCCCAAAGCTGCCATTTTTTTCTTTTTAATTAGACTATGGGAAAGGGGGCTATTTCATTTCCCTTTCCTTCTAAAAGTATGCAAGATGCCCCCAATTTTTACCTCACCCCTAAATAAGTTCATAAAACGTTACGTGAAATGTTTTCCTCCCCCTCCCACCAAAGCCCCCATCCGTTCTTGATCTTTCTTTTAGCAAATTATTCAGCAACGGTTCTCAGTGACGATGCTCAGGAGCGTAGAAAAATACTTAAGGGGGCAAGCCTTCGTCTCACCCAATGCCCAGGCCCTTTGATATTGAAGGCGAGCTTCTTTGCGTACATTGCAACAATTCTTATTTATTTTATTTCTAGTACTAGACAACAAAAATACAGTAATGGGCATAATCATGAATAAATATAAAGTTACAACCTTCAAAGGTGTAAGTACGTACAGGCAATAAAGAAATAAGTGGTAAACAAGTCCAAATATAACAAAAAATTAGTCAACATGTTACAAAGTGACGTGCAATAACGACAAAACTATGTGACCACCCTCTATCGGTGGATAATTTCGCGAAATACACTGTCGTTGTTCGCTGGCTGGAATCACGCATACGGCCGGGTGTACTA